AACAAACTATTCTTCCTGAGAAAATAATTACAATAAATGCTAGGGTATGTGTTTGGATTCAAGATAAAGAAAGTCTCAGAAGAGGGAAAAACATCCAAAAAGCAAAACTTATTTTGAAGGGTGTGATTGTTATTTCACCCTTCTTTTAGTTGAAGAGGAAAACATTATTTTGGAGGTTGTTGTATCACATCACTTTGAGGAATTGTGCACAGTTCTCCAAATGAGATGCAGAGTGTGCTTGCTTCAAGCTGTTTGTGACACCCAGTTGAATTTCACTGTAAAACTGATACGTGCAACAAAAGAGAATTAGGCATTGTGTATTTAACGTCAACATATGTAATTTGAATGAAAATCTTAATGCTAGCATCTCGCGCAAAACAATGTACGCGGGCTGAAGGAAACTAGCAAAAATGTTCCGGTATCGATCAACCGTCAAACAGCTGCAAATGTGATGTACACGGAGCAACGCATACAAACAGAGAATACAACAATACAATTCTGTGTAAATAGTAACTTTGACTGAAAATGAGTTGGAGACCATGTCTGGGTAAACAGTAAAAACCCATAAAAAGCTTCACTATAAAAGTTCAGTAGTACAGCGGTGGCTCAAATACTGAACTGTGGTATCGTAATTTTTGACGTTATTGTTTTATGACTTTGTTTGCCATCTTCCAGAGACCCATCGTGGAGTTTTCCCTGGAAGATTCCCGCAAGCTCAAGATCAAAGAAATGCGACTGCAAAAAAGCAAGGTGTGTGTGCATGTGCGTGTGTGTTCTTTAACGCTGTTTACGTAAAGGTTGAGAAGCCCTGTTCAACATCAGCGAGCAAGTTTTTTTTTCTTTGGTTTTGCATGAACAGAATTTCAACAAACAAGGTGGAAGAGGTAGTGTGACGCCTCAGATGAGACAAGCCTCGACTGGACAAGACTGGAAAAGAAACAAACAAGGTAGAACTAAAGCAGTGTCCTGGATATAAAAATGTACTATTAAATACTAGCAGAAAAGTAATGTCAATGTTAAGAAATAGATCTAATCCGTTTTCTGCACTGCCTAACCTCATTTAGGTCACAGATTTCAACAACAGGGCAAAACACAAAGTGAATAAATAAAATAATAATAACGTTCAAAAATAAAAGAGAGATAGGCAGAGGCAAAAATATGAAATAATATCTAAATCAAACTACAAATATATGTAAATAAAAGAGAATAGATTTGATTAAATTGGTATTCAAAAAAGTATTAAAATGTGTGTTTTCATCTCACTAAAATAATAATTTAATGAAAGAAATAGGTTTTCATATGAGAGGTATTGAAATCCATGCAACACAAATTAATATACAAATATAATAATGAATCAAGATAACTAACAAAAAATAGATTCAAGCATATTAATAAATAAATGGATAATTACATTGACCAAAGTAATTATCGAAAATAAAATGCATAACATTGAAGGAAGAAGAAAAGGTACACAATATATAAATCAGGATGTATTGTTATATAAAGATGTGTGTAAAAAAATGAAAATAGAATATAATTTTAAAGAAAACAATGACAAAACAAAAATGAAAAAAAACAAAACAAAAAAAAACTTTTGTTTTTGGTACATACAGTTATGACACATTTTTTGAGATAATTGATTCACTTGACTCACTTGGCTTCAGGCCATGTGGAATAATTTGAACCTCAAAACCTCTTGATAAATGGACACACTTCCAAACATTTTGTTGCCTTACCACTTCCTGTATGTGCCATAGCCAGGCATCCTGATACTTTTGTCCATTTTTTTTTTCCTTTTCCTCTGTCGGCCCCGTTCAATCCGTCCATGTAGGTTTGTCATCAGCTCCTCACAACAAACCGAGACCCAGCCAACACTGCGGCTTCCAGACCAAGCCCGAAGTGGAGCATGTGGACCTTCAGAATGGAAAGAAGCGGAGGAAAGTGCTGCCCTTCACGTCCCACCGAGGACCCAAGATCAGGTACAGATGCTGTGATACGCAAGGATGCTCCAGTACCAAAATGAGAATCGGCACATTGTTAATATGGCACCCCAGCAGACATTGAATGTTTCTTCTGTTTCTTTCTTCTACTGTATGTACTCCTTTTACAGTGCTCAGATTGAGGCACCACATTACTGAAGTGCCTTGTGCTATAGGCTACATGTAAATGAACGGTGTGATGAGAAATATATGCAGCAGAATGTTAAATCGTCACAAGTTGTTGGTCTAGAGAGGGTTGTACTCGCAACATGTTCAACGGAAGCGTGTGTTTTTTTAAGAATACTTAATATAGAACAGATTTTTACCTCAATTGCAAGACATAATGGTGTTATCAAGCGTCGGCGCTCGAAACCGATAAGTATTCATATGTCAGTACTTGGACTCGTACTTGTGCATCCGTAGTGTTAAGCTGTCGACAGTCTTAAGAGCTGACTCATAACAAGCGTTTGGACTCTTCCAGAATGCGTGACAAAGGGAAGCAGAAGGCTCCGCCCCCCAAGAAAGCTCAGCGTGGAGGCAGCAGAAAAGACCGTCAAACGTGGCAGATGGAGAAGCACACACAGACAAGAAATCAGGTTTGTACAGCATTTTAGCGATATTTTGATGTAAAAATGTGAATGGATGAATAAATTAAAGTTACGAATTATAAAAGTGGAATGAAAATAAATGTATCTAAATAAAAATGTTGTAGCTGGTATATGGATTTATAGGTTTTGATTAAATTCTGCAGTGTGAATGGGCACGTTGTCCTACATTTATAAATGAGTAGTCATTCTATTTTGGAACAATATGTTGTATGGACATAAATATACATTTTTTGTGGCCGCGTTCTCCCTGTAGGCTAAAGGCGCAATGAAGCATTCGAGGAACAGGGGCAGCGATCGTTTTGACAGCCTGGTGGAGCAGTACAAGAAGAAACTTCTCTCACACAGCGACAAAAGCTCTGGTATGAGAAAAAACAAGTGGTTTGTTAACTAAACTCATTTGTATTTGGACGTTTGGAATCAATTCCTGATTCATTGGTGAGGTGTCATAATTGTACACAATGTTTGTATGAAGCCCCTGTGTTAAACTATTGATGATCTCCCCTGTCAAACAAACAGGTGTTTTTATTGTACATTTAGGCTGTCTTTATATTAAAACGATGAAAACGATTGGCTCTGTCGATCATTTTATTGGTTTGACAATCTGTTTTTGTTGAGAGATCACAAGAGAGGGCAACACGGTTGAAAAGTGCCCAGTAAGTCTGCCTCACATTTCTGAGGTTTGCTGTTCAAATCCCAGGCCCAACTTTACCGTGTGCAGTTTGCATGCACTCCCCATTGTTGCTTTGGTTTTCCCTAGAGACTCAGCTTGGCCCCTCATTCCAAACACCTTCATGTTAGGTTCATTGCAGAGACTAAATTGTCTGTAGGTGTGACTGCATAAAAATCCACCCCCCTCCTCCGCCTACAATAATAGAAAAAGCTAATGATGGTTTTATTCAAAAATTGTTATTCCTAGCAATAACTTGCAGAAACAAAAAAAATATATATATTTTTACAGGTTTTGTCAAATTGTATGCAAATAATATCTTTAATAAACACAATTGTGGAGGCACGGTGGTCGACTGGTCCGCCTCACAGTGCAGAGGTGCTGCAGGGTTCAATTCCGGCGCCGGCCTTCCCGTGTCGTGTTTGCATGTTCTCCCCATGCCTGCGTTGGTTTTCTCCGGGTAAGAAGTGTTAAAGGCCTTGAAATACATTCAATTTTTATGGCATAGGCACACGCTCACCCTTAAAATTATCGACATTGTTCACCAGACACAGAATGAAGCTCCTCGCAAGGCCATCTCTGTCCCCAGACCTAAACCCCAGGACCCAGGTTGCTTTATGTTGTCAGATTCTTAGCGGGTAGTTGTTGTTGAAAAATAGGGTGGTCGGAAAATTTGCAGTCGTGCAGTGCTCATCAACGAATATGCCCTTTGAACTGTTGAAGACCCCCCCCCCCCAACCCCCAAAAAAGTTAAAACAAGTGCTCCAGAAAACAGAAAGATGGCTGGATCATGAGAGTTAACTGTAAATTGAAACAAAAGTCAATTTATTATCCATTTTTCCTTAAATAGTTTTTTAAAAAGCAAATACAGTACAGTACAAAAATATACAAAATGCAAAAAAAATATACAAAATGCAAATTTGAAGGCCATAAATAGCAGTAACGGAAGAGCTGGTGGTGGGTGTTGACATAAATAAAAGCCCAGTATTTAAATAAGAATGAAGCCCCAGTGGTCAGCACATCTGCCTCACAATTCTGAGGTTCTGGTTTTGAATCCGGGCTGCGCCCTTTCTGCATTGGTTTTGCATGTTCTTGCCGTGCTTGTGCCGGTTTTCTCCGGCTTCCACATTCCTCAAGCATGCACGTTAGCTTTATTGAAGACTCTCAATTGTCCGTTGGTGTGAATGTGAATGATGCCAAAATCCTCTTCCTGCTTTACTATTTTTTTTTTGTTTGTGTTTCTTCTGAATGTCAAAAACGTGACAAGTTGTCCAAAAGTTGTCGTTTTCCCCCCTCTTTTGTTTGAGGTGTCATTCAGACAGATGCGAGGCCATATGCATTTGACAGATTAGGCTGTAGTTGCAGCCTTTGCTGTCCCAGACTGCAGATCAGCCGTAGCTTGAGATGCTTTATTCCCACTGCATTGTGCACTTTTCTGTTGTTGATAAATCACTTGATAAAGCACATGGCAGAAGAGCTGTCACGACCAAAACCGATAAAAATGACTGAACTTCGAGAGCAGGTGTTCACATCAAGCCATGGAAGGTTTTGCCTGGAGGGTTGCGGTGGAACTTCGCATCAACAAAAGCTCTATTTAGTGGCTGTTTGCGAGAGCGATAAAGCTTTACCTGTACCAGCTTCAAGTTGTTCCAAACTGCAAAGCCAAACTGTCAAATGCTGATGGCCTCATGTTTGTCCAAATGAAACAAAATGGGAAAAAAAACTGTATATTGACTTTTTGGACACCTTGCATAACTGCCTTGCATATGTTTACCTACACTGATGGTTTTGTTTTAGCGTGTTATGTAAATGAAATGGTTAGGGAAAGACTGAAAGGACATTGCATCCTTTTTGAGTTTTCAGAAAAAAATTGGACAGCACTGATTTTGAGTCCTCAGTGAATCTAACGTATGTTTTTGAGTTTCCGTCTCAGCATTTGTCCAGGTGCTCCATGTTCTGCAGCATCCGGGTGAGGATGTCCTTGACTCTGACCAGCGCCTCGATGCCGACGGTGAGGACGTAGCTTTGCTGACTTTGCAGCCGTTGCAACGCGCCGCCTGCGGTGGAGGTCCTGTTGGCCTTGGCCTCCCCGCAGCGGCCCTTCTTCCACTGACCGAGGTAACTCTTCAGCCACGAGATCTCGGCCTTCACCTGAGACACGTTCAGAGAGTCTGAGATGAGCTTGTCGTAGCCGTCCAGGAGCGTCACCACCGAGGAGAGCCCGTCCAGTCGGTCGGCCGGCGGCGCCAGCGTCATGCCGGGAGGAACCTGCCACGCCGCAGACAACCAAGTTTGTTCATTTCCACTCTGACAATAACCAATATTCAAGAGGTGCGATGATTAATTGACAACTAAACGATTATCAAGTTAACCGATCATTATTTTTTGACATCAGCACAGCTTTTGAGTAGAAGATACAGATAAGGCGGTTATCTCAGTTTGTCATGTCAATTATTTGGCAGAGATGCTAGCACTTTGGAAGTCGGATAAGTTCAGACACCCACACTTTACACTTAGAATAATTATACGTATGGTATAAACAGTATTGATTTCGCTAGGTCATGGTAAGTGTGTGTTGTGACCGTGAGAAATGATGGCGCAGTTCATGAAGTGAATGGCGCACGAAAAAAAAAGCCACTGATGTTCAACTCAAGTGATGCGTTGAAACATTGCTCACAGGGCATTTTCTGATTTGGATATCTGTAAATAAATGATTCTTTTGCCATTCTGTCCACACAGCCCTAACACAGTAAATGTTTGTCATTTTCTTTCAGGGAAAGTCGTGTTAGTCAATAGCCCGCTGCCCGTTTGCAGAAAAGGTCTATCGGCCTTCTGTAGAAGTTACCTGGATTTTATTGAGTCTGGCAACCAGCTGCTTGGACTTCCCCTCCACTGTGGCTTTCATCCTGATGACCTCCACCGACATGGGGGCCGCCGTGACCGCGCCCCAGACTTGGGACACGGACACCAGGATGGCTAAGGTGATGCAGTCCATTGTGTTTGTTTGTGGCTGTGGATCCCGGGAGAAATGCCAACAGTATTGTCATTCAAGTCTTTTGTGCGCTTTCGCCATAAAGCAACATAACCGGTCACTTCCTTCCACTCATTGACGCAACCTGTTTGATTGTGCGGGCAAATATTTGAGATTCCTTCAAATAAAAGTTGGGTACAAAGATCAAACGCTTCCGCACGTCTGCGCTTAACCTAATTTGGTCCGGCATCCAAATCTTACTTGGCTTGCTTTCGTGTCAATAGGAGTCAATCATTAGTTATGAACAGATGAAGGAAAAGTCTCACGACCATTTCCAATAGTTTGTTATTTATTAAACTACTGACAACTTGCAAAGCGAAATAATTACAATCCTAATTTCTTTTTCATAAATGTTTGTTTTAATTAATTTATACAAGAAATAGGACGAGAAAATAAAACTTGCAGCAGCGAAAGTAAGATCTGGCCTGTGATTTAACAGTACTAATAATCATTTTAACTCAATTGATTTTTACTTGCTTTGATTATTTCATCTTCATTTGTATAATTTAAAAATAAAAAGTAACATAGTTTTTCCATTATTGATTATTCCATATTATTATTTATTATAGGACGGTAAAGAATCAGCAAAACAGAAAATAAAATCCTGTTAATTTTATTACTATTTTTTTGAATGTATTTATTTATTTATTTTTAAACAAGGTACCGAAAGAAAAAAAGAACAGAAATCCAGTTCTGACGTTTCGGAAGACACTTAAAAAAAGCACTTTACTGATTGAGTGAGTGTGAGAGAGAGAGAGAGAGAGATGTCGGAAATTATTTAGTCGGGTAAGAGGTCAACTCCCCGTCGGGGAATCGAACCCAGGTCTTCCGCCTGATAGGCGGAGATACTGTCCACTATACTAACGAGGAATTTTCTAACGAGGATGATAGATGATGAGATTTGATTTAAAAAAAAAAAAAGGAAAGTTCATTTTTAAAAATGACAAGAAAAATCTGCATTTTCCTAAGCAATATTTCCAAGTTAATGAAGCCTATTAGCAATCAAAACACCTGATCGCAAGCTTTATTTTTCCGCCTATAATGTCGACATACCTACCAAAAATGCTCATGATAAATATTACCATCTTGGAAGCCATACCCAAGTTGTTCACGCAAACATCAAGCTTTCAATAAAGCACAAAACAGAAGCCAAAGGTCAAGCACTGAGAGGAGTAAAAGTTGCGCTTACCTTTTGGTGGTGAGTGTGTCCACTGTTGGGCCACCATCGGCGTGTCTTATAGTGGTGGGATGTTGAGTCACCTCTTACTCATCGCTTTCCCCGACCCCCCATTCCCTTTCGTCCATCCCCTCACCTTCCTCTTCCCAGCCCATCGCATCATAGCCTTTGTTTACATGTGCAGTAGCCCTTGTTGGGTTTTTGATTTTTCCACAACAATCAACCTGTTATTTGTCAGTCACCGGACAAAATGCATCCAAATTGAATTGAATGCAAAAACACTGTGCACTGAAGTAGAAGCACATATCATTTAGTATATATAATATGAGCCTCCTGGTATGTTTCTTTTGGCACACCAAAAATGAGCCATCGAGAATTAAGAGTGGGCTAAATCAAATGTAATTTTTAGGTTAAATGCGGGAAGGAAAATGGATCATTTTTCAATTTGGCAGTTTAGGGCAAACCAATTTTGAACTTTGCACTTTTAGGCACAAAACTGGGCCAAATCCCGTTTCAAAGGTGGCCACCACACTGGGTGCATTTGACACTTAGTATAACAGAAGGGTTACCATTTTTAGTTTTGCGGTATTGAAGGATTATGAAAATAGTAGTCATTGTACTTTATTTTATGAATGTATTTCTCTTTTTCATACTTTTATTATTTTTAATAGGTACAGTAAACCCCCGCATACTCGGGGTTCTATACCCGCGGATTTGCTTCTCAGTAGATTTAAAATATATATGTATTTTCTTGCCTATTTCAAAACACACTGAATGTTGATTGGCATTTTGTGTCGGTTTTAAAAAATGTTTTTTTCTTTTCTTTCCATTGCATTTGAATGAGGATCAATAATTTGTGGCTTTTCGCTGTTCGCCGTCCTGTCTTACTTTGGTTAAATACATAATAATCATTGCAATACTACTTCGCTTTTCATTATATTGAAATATTTTATATTCAAAATATTTTATTTTCAATTCCAGTTTTGATAGCTTTGCATCACGAAAACATTTGTTTTTATGCAATCAAAACATGTTCGCATTGATTTGCTAAAATTGAGGACTGACACACAAAACATTTGAAATTAGCTAATGATAACAACTGAAAAATACAGTTTACTTCTACATGTTATTTCAGATTAGATGGAGATTTTTTTCCAACGCCTCTCCGTGTTTTTTTTTCCTTCCACCCATGGAGGTTGAAAAAAGTAAGAAGCCTGTTCTGACAAGAACTAGAAAGTACACATATCCGTTTTCAAAAGTAGGGAGTCAAAGTAAAAAGTCGCCACAAAAATACTCAGGTTAAGTACAGATAGCTGTAAAATCTAATTAAGTACAGTAACAAATATATCTGAAGTAAAAATGCGGCGCCGTACTGTACATGTTCCCAATCATGTGTTGACCTCCACCCGCCATTGCTCATTCTAAATATTGCCCAATGGCAGCCAGCAGGGCAGCTGTGTTTGTTTAGCGCGGAGCACCGCCTCAACTGTTGTGGACCATTCAAAGCATACAAATGTGATAAAAATATCATTGCAACAAAATATATTTCCATATATATTTATGTCGATTTTTGTCCATTCTTTTAATTTAAATTTTTTACAAAAAAACTATTTTTAAACAACATGCTGTACTTTGTACAACATGCTGTACCGAAAATACAGGCAAATCTCAGTCCAGAGGTCGATTTATGACAAATTAAAATGAAAAAGGAATATGCACAAAAGAAAACATTCATAATCTAAAAACAGAAAATGATATATATAAATGAAAAGAAAGATACAAAAAACAATTTTACAAATTTTGGGAAAATGTAGTGATTTTAACATCTATATATGTATATTTGTAATTTTCCACAGATGATAATATCAAATTAAAGTAGAACTTCGTAAAAAGGCTTTTTTTTTGTACACATGCATTTTTATATTTTTAACTTATTTATATTATTTTAGGTTCATCAGAGTTCAGGCTTTGATCAGAGAGGGAGAATTTATTGGGACATTTTTTATAAGAAATTTAAATATTTTTGTAATGTTCCACAAATGATGATACCGAAACAAATTATAGTGTCGTATTTATGTGAGGGTGAGGCCTTTCTTTTTTCGTCGTCAGGCCACCCACCGCTGGATCAGGAAGTACAACAGATATAATGTGAGTTAATGAATTAATGATTAATTAGTACACGCACATTTTAAAAACAATTGGACTGATAGTAAAAATACATTTTAATACATCAAATGGGTGTGTGTGTGTGTGTGTGTGTGTGTGTGTGTGTGTGTGTGTGTGTGTGTGTGTCACACAAAATATAATGTAGCACTTTCTCACAAAAATGAACACACGTCTCCCATTTTGGTAATACTCTTTTCACAGGACAACAAAAATGATTCTCGGCAACAATGTCTGTCAGTGTACATCTTGCATTACAGTGTCATTGAAATTTAACCACTGGTAACAAAAGTGAGTACACCCCGAAGTGAAAATGGTAAATGGGCTGTCATTTATCTAGCGCTTTTCACTGTTTCCTCATGTACCTACTGATGACGCAGCATCAGGAGCAACTGGGGGTTCAGTATCTTGCTTCGACAAGGTCGCAATGGCAGGGGGTTGAACCCCCAGTTTTGGTCCATAAATATTTCCCAGAATGCCTCATGCTTGCTTGCTTGTTTTGTGTTTTGCCCAATTGAAGCTCTCACATCATCACATGCAGGAAGAGCATTTCAGCAGCAGCTCACAGATTTTTTTTTTTTTTTTTGGATAGCTCAGCTCTTCTTCCAACATCTTCTCCTCATCCAGAGTGGCTATTCTTGGATGAGTGTCTGTGTTGTGACACAAACTTGTCAGAGGGGGAAAAAAAAAAACAGGCCAAGAGTGAACCATGTGCCTTCGAGTAAGTCTTAAGGGAAAAATAAAAAAAATTAATAATAACATGCCTGTTACAGTTGTTTGTTTTAGGTTTCCCTCATGGTAATTTACTGTAAAGCGGGCATACCTCACACACTCGGGGATAATAAACAGGTCTCGTAAAAATCGCATGTCTTCTTTAATGACGCGCTCAACTCAAGCAGAAATGTGACGTTATCAAGGAAACTGACGAGAAAAGGCACTTTTAAAGGACGCACTTCTGGGAATGAGAGTCAAGCGGTGGTAGAGTTTAAGTCCACTTTAATCTTCGCCGGGAATCGTCTATTATTCATGAAAGCAAAAACATGGAGGAATGACCAAGACGCTCATGTTCAACAGGGAAGAAGAAGAACAAACAAAAAAAAAAGTTTTACTTTTCTATGTGCCAGCAGCAAACTGGGTTATAAACGCGGACATCTGGGATTAATAACAGCTGCCGGTCACTAAAAAGTTTCTTAACAAGGATTTTTTTTTTTTTTGCCTTCCTGCATACATCATCATCACTAACAGGAACAACTTCAAGGTAAAAGCAAGTTAAACACATTTACATATTTTCAACCCCTTCAGCTCAAAGTCAGCACATGTCTGATTGTCAGATGTTGTAAAGATTATCCTGAGTGATTATCCCTGTAGTTTGAGGTGTGTGTGAAGAGCTCGTTTTCTTTTTTTTTTTTTTTTTTTTTGTCCATCGTGATGCTCTCAGAAAGCTGTCGGCTGACAATCGTAAATGTTAAAACTGCTCAAAAGTTACGATTGTAAATCCTTAGGTGGGCAACATCCTTACAATCTGGTGAAAAATTAGCGCCCCCCGCCCCCCCCTTTGGGATTAAAGTCGCCTGTCAGATGCCGATCAGGATTGTCAGGAGTGATTATCCTTGATGTGGCGTGTTTTTAGTGTTTTTCCTTCATAGTCTTCTTGGAAAATGTTCGGGCTGACAATTTTAAATGGTAAACAAGGTACCAGGTTCAATTCCAGCTCCGTCCGGTCTCCCTGTGTGGAGTTTGCATGTTCTGCCCCCGGGCCTGTGTGGGTTTTCTCCGGGTACTCCGGTTTCCTCCCACATTCCAAAAACATGCATGGCAGGCTGATTGAACACTCTAAATTGTCCCTAGGTGTGAGTGTGAGCGCGGATGGTTGTTCGTCTCTGTGTGCCCTGCGATTGGCTGGCAACCGGTTCGGGGTGTCCCCCGCCTCCTGCCTGAAGACAGCCGGGATAGGCTCCAGCACCCCCCACGACTCTTGTGAGGATAAGCGGATTGGAAAATGCACGGATGGTATACGTACATGTACTGATAATCAGGCTGAGTTTGAATTGTTTACCCCTTCAGATTAAAGACAACAAAGGCTTGATTATTGGATGTCTCTCAAAGATGATCCTGTGGTTTTGGCTCTTTTAAGAGTGATTTTTTTTTTCTTCTCCCCAATCTATTTGGATCATGATTAGGGCCGACAGTCATGAATGTTAACTGGGGTATACTTAATACCAATAATAAGGCTGGAATTGAAAACTGCTTCTGATCAAAGTCAGCAGAGGTCCAATTATGGGATTGCTCTAAACGATTATCCTGTGGTATGGGGAGTGTTAAAAGTTGTTTTTTTTTCTTCAACCTGTTTGGAAAAACGATCGAAGCCAACAATCATAAATGTTAAGTCAGGTACACACCTACCAATAATCAGGCCAGATTAGAAAACCCCTTAGTTGACAAAGGCTTGAGAATCAGACCTCTTGAAAAGATTATCCTGAGCGATTATCCTGTGGTGTGGGGTGTGGCAAGTGTGATATTTTTTCTTTCCTCTGATCTGCTCACAAACTGTCGAGGCGAACAACTGTCAATAATAAACCTGTTTAAGATTTACTTAACCACACGTGCCAGTTTTGTTTCCTCGTCACGTGTGGAGTCTCTAACTTTTTGAGAGTCAGTTAAGGGGCTAGAAATCTGTATGTGTGGACCCCACTTAACAGGAACAGCTTTTAGTTAAAACGGGGTACACATAACGGTGAATACGTTTTAGCATTTTTCCACCTTTTCGCTTCAAGGCAGCAAATGCCAGATTATCAATTACCAGTTGAGGATTTGTTGTGCCTTGGTGAAGGTCTGCTCTTTAAATGAGTGCTGATCCAATTAATTTAAAATGATTACTGTGGTGGTCAATTGAAAAATCCTTGATTTAAAATATTTGTTCGCAGATTTTTAAAATGTGGTTATGAATTGCATTAAAATAAAAGAAGAATAAAGTTGAACACCACTACCTGTAGTCTTACATTTAGTTTGATTATACTCTCTCTCTATGCAGGTACTAATGGTTGTCTGTCCAGTTTAAAAAAAAAAGAGGTTTTAGGATGATGTGGAATTAATTGAGGTTACATTTTTTTTTTGCCCATGGATACTTTTAAAGAGCAATTAGTAATTTTTTAAAAACCCTAAACTGTTCGTCTTATGCCTTGCAGTATGTTTACAAGGCACCAAGGAAGATCAATGACTAGGAAGTCACCTCCTGAGGTAGAACAGGACAGGATAGGACACTACTCATTAATTATTGATGAGTCACATGACTTGTTGGATCTCGTGAGTCACATCTTTACAAGAAATGTCTGCAACCATGAATAAGGTGTAAAATGTTCAATTTTAGAGCTCCAGCTACCGATTTTTCTTTATCGAGTTACGTGTTGATGTTTTGTATTTAATTGATGAATCACATTAAAAAATACATTTATTAAATTTCTATCCTTTTATTGTTCAAAAACAGGACATTCCCATTGACAGTGCAAAAATTATGATTCAGTTACTATTTTGGTCTGAAAGTTCAGAAATTAGGGACAGATGTGGATCATTAGGTAAGGATAATCACCAGTCATGTTTACGTGGAGCCTTGTATTCCATTTAGAATGAAACCAAATGGAATGAAAATACCATATTGGCCCGAATATAAGACGGCCCTGATTATAAGACGACCCCCTCTTTTTCAAGACTCAGGTTTGAAAAAAGACTTTTTGAACACCAAATTAATTTTATACAGAAAATAATGACAGTACATCTGAAACAAATTATAACATTATAACAATATATTTGAGAGAAAAAGCATGTTATTTTGCCTCATTCAAATCTTAATATCTGAACATTTAAATATGTAAACTAAAGTGCAATCTCATTCGTAAATGAATGGCTCCTGGTTTTTGAAATGTAAATTACATCATAAATTCTCCTCAGCTGCCGGTTAACCTGGCCGATCTTCGACCCACTTTTCTCCATATTGTTGCTACGTTTCTCCATTTTCTGTTATCTCTTCTATTATTTTCTTCTCTTTTCTTTCTTACCGCTATTTTTTTATTTTTCTTCTTCGTGCTACCTTTATTTTTATTTTCATTCTTCGTGACAGGGGTTCACTTTGGCCTGGGGAGTCAAGTTCAGCGTTCGCTTCAATGATATCTGGCGCCATCTCGCGTCGTGAATGGGTATAATGTCTAGACCCTGAATATAAGACGACCCCCACCTTTTCAGTCTTATTTCAATGCAAAAAACACCGTCTTATATTCGGGCCAACACGGGACTCCATATCATACGTCACAGGGAAAATCAGAACGGAATTTCATTTGTATTTAAAGTAGTGGCATATTCCTGTTACCCATCCCCCAGAGTAGGAATATGCAATGAGTAACTTAGCTATTCATTTCATTAAATCTAACTATAATGACAAGTTGCATGGGGAGAAGAAGAACACTGTTTCAGGTATCATTTAGGAATACTGTACATTGAAGTTACTATTTGACCATTTTTCAACTATGGTTCAGAGGTGATCCTCACATAAAGTCGAACATGACCTGAAGCACAAGAAGAATGTGTTTTTTTAACATCTTGAATTTGTAAAAAAAATATATATTTTTATTTTTCACAAATGAAGGGTTCAGTGAATGTCTATACCGCTATTTTTTTATTTTTCTTCTTCGTGCTACCTTTATTTTTATTTTCATTCTTCGTGACAGGGGTTCACTTTGGCCTGGGGAGTCAAGTTCAGCGTTCGCTTCAATGATATCTGGCGCCATCTCGCGTCGTGAATGGGTATAATGTCTAGACCCTGAATATAAGACGACCCCCACCTTTTCAGTCTTATTTCAATGCAAAAAACACCGTCTTATATTCGGGCCAACACGGGACTCCATATCATACGTCACAGGGAAAATCAGAACGGAATTTCATTTGTATTTAAAGTAGTGGCATATTCCTGTTACCCATCCCCCAGAGTAGGAATATGCAATGAGTAACTTAGCTATTCATTTCATTAAATCTAACTATAATGACAAGTTGCATGGGGAGAAGAAGAACACTGTTTCAGGTATCATTTAGGAATACTGTACATTGAAGTTACTATTTGACCATTTTTCAACTATGGTTCAGAGGTGATCCTCACATAAAGTCGAACATGACCTGAAGCACAAGAAGAATGTGTTTTTTTAACATCTTGAATTTGTAAAAAAAATATATATTTTTATTTTTCACAAATGAAGGGTTCAGTGAATGTCTATATTAACTGGTTGGGTTCGGTACCTCTAAAAAGTTTAAGAACCACTGGATTAGAGTATGTATGTTTTGGTTTCGAATAGTTGGCCACTTAGGGTGATCTAGGGTCATCGATCAGCCATAAAAGGCCTTGTTTGGCGATTACCGATCACACCCTTTTCCACAAAAATCGGCTGATCACAATTGATTGCTGATCTATCAGAGCACCCCTAAAAATATCTCTTAATTTTCCAGATATTGGGCATATAATAGGTCCCAAGATGTCCGGAATGAGGAAAATAGTTGTAAGGCGGAATGGATATCCTTGGCCAACAACCGTGTAAGGAGGTGGCAAATGTCACTGTTAGGCAGAATCCTTAAATCTCCACAACCATGATTTTGTAGGAAACAATGTTTTTTTAAAATTATTAACCTTATTAAAGAGAAAGCATTGTTTCCCCATTTTAGAATGGTAAATAGTTTGTGAAAAATAACACACCCACGTTGTGGGCGGAACAACAGTATCGATTTGTGGAAACAACATATGAAATTAACCATATTTGGACATCGGAGGCGCCCACCTGGCAGCAACGATTTGTAAAATACCTAATTTGGGAATTTCTCTCTGAAGAGTGTGGAAAATAGTTCGCAACATGTCCAACAGGTCAAAAAATGTTGGAAGGAGGTGATAAATACTGCAAGTTTGTGTCCTGAATTCGAAGTTGAAATGGATCAAGTCATGCGGAAGTAGGAGGTACATTTGTGAATTTCTTTCTAATATGAAGATGGAATTTTGGGAATGTGTAAATTAGTTTTCATGACGTCCTGAATGAGCTCAACAGGAAATTGTGAAATTCTGGCAATTTGGGGAATGTGGAAAGCAATCCTGAACTGGTCTTTACTTTTGTGACTCTTTTGCAGTCCGAATGGCTTGAGAAATGTGGAAGGGAAAACCCAGTTTAAAACAACAACAACAACAACAAATAAAAGCCCATGAATCACAATAATCAATCATGAATGATACATGAATGGTATGTTGTCATTTCAGGGTAGTGTGCCCTGTGGCCCCAGCAAGAGTTGTTCACGCAGGGAAAACGGGGGTGGAGGGGCTTGCAGTCGGCATCGCGTTACTTTTCCAGATGCCGGCCAAAGAAAGCAGGAATTCCGCTCAGCAGAACCTGCCCGGGTGAGTCACGGGAATGACGGGAATTCTGATTCTGCGTGTTATTGAACTTACATCCCACCCTTCCCCCTCCCTCCCCACTGCCACCCCAGAGACTTGAATGATGTCTTCGTGCCATAAAGTGTGGTTGGAAAAGACCCGAGTCAGCTTTTGGTGACGTTCATGGCAATGAGATGCTGCTGAGTGAACAGGCATCTACGCAAGCACACATGAGGTAAAAGTGTTACGGTGGAGACTCTGCGGCCCCGATGTTAAGTACACTCAAACAAGAGCTGATCATCGGCCCAATTGTTACAGACGTTTTATTTTGTTTTGGTGCTTGTCGATTGAAATGGGTCATGCCGGAGAGCTGTTTGGTAACCTTATTTTGTGGAGAAAAAAAATACTAGACTAAAAATAAATAATTGCACATATATTTTACTTAAACATATTTGTTTTATACAGACATATTTTAATTACTAATAGTTTACTAATAGTTTTTTTTTTTTTTACTCCCCCTCTCTCGGGTACTTGATATTTTAACTTTTGACCACAATCCTTGGGTCTTTTAAACAGCCCATAAAATAACCAATAAACTGAAAGTATTGTTTTTCACCATGTTGAATCATCAAATTTTATTATTGTGCTTGTAATTGACACAAAAGCCAAGTGACAGATGTTACTAATTTAATTTACTAGCTTTCCTTTATTCTCGAACAAAAGGGTCAAAATTTTCGAATCAGTATTTATTATTCTGTTGTTCAAATTCTCTCCACCATGGACCGTGATTAATTTTTGAATTACGATTATTTAAGTTTTATTATTTAGCATTTGGGGGAAAAAAACAATCGTGCTATGTATGTATGTTTAATATGATGACCACTATCTCTTACTGTTAATATTTATTTAAAAAAACATTTGTCAAACAAAACATAGAACATGAACACAAATATTAAGAATCATTAATAATAATGCTTTTTGAATACGATTTTAGTTTTACAATCAACATGATTAAAAATGAAATCTGACATGAATATATTTGTAAATACAGTACTGTATAGAACTTCCTGCTTTCGTTGCTCTCAGGGTTTGTTTGTTTGTTTGTTTGTTTGTTTGTTTGTTTATTGAACATAAAACATATACAGTAATAATTTGACAGAAAATAAGGTAAATAAAATAGTAAAGAGGAAAGAGAAATTAGTCATCATTCAACACAGTTATTATGTTCAAGGGAGTAGGAAGAAGTAAAGAACTTATCTAGTCCTACCCCGTGTTGTATGTTTATATCTATTGAATCATTTTTATATCAATCAGAAAAGAAACAAAGTAAGAAGAAAGAAGTCTCCATTAAGGCTCATGCTTTACCCTTAACCGTGATATTTTTATACTTTTGGTTTGTATCGGGAATTTATACATACACACCCTGGCACTCTTGTGT